ACAGTCACCTCTTTCAGCAGGATAATGCACCCTGCCACACTGTACAAATTATTCAGGAATGGTTTGGGGAACATGAAAAACAATTCAAGGTGTTGCCCCAAATTCCCCAGATCTCCATCTGATGGAACATTTATGCGATGTGCTTGAACACCAGATCTGATTCATGGGGGCCTCACCTTGCAACTTGCAGGACCTAAAAGGATCTACTGCTAATCTTCTGGTGCCAGATACCATGGGACACATTCAGAGGTCTTGAGTCCATGCCTCAATACATCAGAGCTGGTTTGGCAGCATGAGGGGGACCTACACAATATTAGGCAGGTGGTTTTAATGTTGTGGCTGATCAGTGTAAACCACTGATCTATCCAGCAGTTCCTCTTAATACCACCAATATCATGGGGGTAATACAGCAGCACATTAAAAAAATTAGAAAAATGTTCTTCTTATGTGCACAAATGTTAGGTGGTTACCTTATCAATGCTTTAAGGTGAATTAATCCCAAAACAGATTGTACATGCACGCTGGTATGAGTTCCAGCCAGAGCCCAGGGAAATCGCCTTTCCAGGTACACATGTCTCAGTCTAGCTGACATTTAAAAACATACCTATACTTTAAAATGTGTGCACTTTAGTGGATAGGGTGACAGACGAGGACTTGGGAGGTCTGGGTTCGAAGCCCCACTGACCCATGGAAATTGAGAGTTGCTATAAGTCAGTTTTGACTTGATGGCACATAACAGCACTTAAAGGGGCCAAAAGCAATCAAAAATTCAGACTTTTATTAATATATACAGTGGTGCCTCACTTAACTAAAAATTCAGACTTTTATGAATATATACAGTGGTGTCTCGCTTAACGAGGATAATCCATTCCAGCGAAATCACTATAGAACGAAATCCTCATTACGCGAAATAAAAAGCCCATTGAAATGCATTGAAAACCCTTCAATGTGTTCCAATGGGCTGAAAACTCACCATCCAGCGAAGATCCTCCATAGGGGCAGCCATTTTCGCTGCCTGTAAAGCGAGGAATCCGTCCTAGAAACAGCAGGGGGCCATTTTCTCCACCCGGCGGCCATTTTGAAACCTGACGATCAGCTGTTTTTAGATCGTTGTAATGCGAAAATTGGGAAGCAAGAAAAGCCCATTTAAAACATCGTTTTGCAATGAAAAGCCCATTTAACACATTGTTTTGCAATTGCTTTTGCAACCGCAAAAACCTAATTGTCAGGCAATTTCCTCATTAAGCAAGGCAATCGTTAAGCGAGGCACCACTGTATAGAAACACACACACACAACAACAACCACTTCATTGTTCATGAACTCTCCACCTTTGGAAGTATACCAAACATAGGTGAAAAGGCAGACAGGCAGTGTTCATTGTTCATGAACTCTCCATCTTTGGAAGTGTACTAAACATAGGTGAAAAGGCAGACAGGCAGTGTACGCACTGGACATTCATGACCAGGAGATGTATGGTACATTCTAAAGTGCAAGGGCTCATCATACCATTTGCCACAGACGTAGCTCTATGGAAAACCCGTAACACTTGGAGGAAACACAGTTACCAAAGGAGATGGCAGATAACATCATTATACAAATCCAAAAGGTCCAGGGCTTCAATCTTGTAACCTCCAGCTCCACCACCTTCCCCTGCAGCACATGCATTTTGCCCACAAAGCATCTTCTATCACTACAAGCAGCTCAGGAAAAACAAGCATGGCCAAACAAACTGGCACATTTTGGATACAGAACCAGTTGTCTTTGCCACAAAGTACCAGCACAGAGGTGCCCATTGTGTTGGACAAAATGTCATCATGATGTTCCTCCTATGCAGTGGATGAATAAAACCTTTGGAAGTTTCCCAAAAATAGAGGGCAAAACATCTCCATTGTCCCAAGATATACTTGCTTGCTTGTGCCCTGTTACATCAACACCCTTAATATTGTGCTGATTTGATTTGGATCCAGAATCATTTTGTTTACCAGAGTTAGATAACGGTAGGACCCCTTAATATTGTGCTGATTTGATATGGATCCAGAATCTTTTTGTTTACCAGAGTTAGATAACGGTAGGCCACTGATTCAGAGGTTTCTGCCAGGTCATGTCAACAGATGCTTTAGTATCTGTAATTATCCTTCTTTATGGGGAGAAAGAAAACACACACACACACACACAACAGCATTCTAGCACAATCACAGCTAGTTGGTTAGCTCAGTGAACCAGGCATCTGTCTGCACAGCCAGAGGTTGAGAGGTTGATTCTCCACTGTGCTGCCCAGGAAAAGAGCCAGCCTGTGCAGCCCTGGGCAAGCTGCACAATCTCAGAGTGCCCCCAAAGAAGGCAATGCCACTTTTGAGTACAGTGGTGCCTCGCAAGACGATTGCTTCGCGGGATGAAAAACCCGCAAGACGATTGGTTTTTGCGATCACTATGGTGCTTCGCAAGACGCTTTCTTCTATGGCCATGTTTCTCAAGATGGTGTTTTTTCCCCTGAGACCAATGCCTCGCAAGACAAATACATTTCATTCGTCTTGCGAGGTTCCCATAGGGAACCTCACAAGATGATTTATTTCGCAAGACAGCGATTCTCACGGAACGAATTACATTCGTCTTGTGGAGCACCACTGTACTTTATACCTAGAAAAGGATCACCGTATGTTGGACTTGAGAGCACCTTATTAATAGGATCATTTTTAAAAAGAGGCCAGTGGTGACACAAAAAGAAGTCATTATCCGTAAAATTTTACACAGATAAAGTTCCTGTCAAACATCATATTAGCATGGAGTAGATTCCGATAACCTAGAAAACCCATCAGTTTCTCAGTGTTGTAATTATCTGGTTAGTACCTTTTCCTTTGTGTATTACATCAGTTAATTTTATCCGTCACTGTCTGCCAGACAATTCAATAACCATTCTCCTTACTGCAGGATATGAATATTTCCATTAACAAGCCCGTGCAATTTCTTGCCGGAATAAATCAATTCATAATTAATGGCCGTACGACATCTGGGAGATCTTTTCTTGCCAACTGAATACGATCGGCCACGGGATTACTCCTGAAGCCATTCCTGTTATTTTCTACACTGTACAGCAAACGACATCTGAATATTTGACATTTGGAAAATCCTAGAATGGGTCGCTATAGGCTGAAATTGATTTCATGGCCTATAATAATACTTTTTATTTATTGCTTGCCTAAAATAATCAACCAGAGCTATAAGGACTCTGCATAGGAAATAAGTCCCTCTGAACTCCGATGCCGTGAAACCTTCCTATTCGGAGAGCCCTGCTGGGATCTTCCCTACAGAAGAAGGACTGTTGCTCAGTGGCACAGTATGTGCTTTGCATGCAGAACTCCCCTATTTTAATTCCTGGTGCATCCATTTAAAAGCGGGGGGGGAGGGAGGAGATTGGGTAGGAGGTGATGTGAAACAAAGATGCTTGCCTGCCTCAGCAACTGGAGAGTCACTGTATGCTAGCATTTCGTATACTAGGCTAGTTCAGAGCTTGAAAAAGTCACCTTTTGGAACCTAAACCCACTTGGTAACTAACTAGAGTAGATCCACTGGATCAATGGTTTCTGCCGTTCCTTGGCATTTTAAAGACCCCCCTTTTTTTCTAGTGGACACAAGTTAAAAGGAAAGTTAATGACAAATCAAGTCTGTTATTTTTGTTGCCGCAGACTATTTCCCTCTAGAAAATGTCTGTACCAGGTAAGGCAATACTTCTGTAAGTTCCACTGACTCTCTGAGTCAACCCCAGTTGGGATTAACAACTGGATTTAGTCCTTGAACTACGAGTCCTAGAATCCTCTAATTAGCAGAAATGGACAACACTGTGAGATGCAGTCCAAAAAGTAACTCTTGCAAGCTCGGAGGTTAATAGGGAAATAGTCCGGTTGGGTTCAAGCAGCTTCCCTTGCATTGCTGTTCCTGAACAGAAAAGACTTTTCTAGAGCTGGAAGATTCCTACTCGAAAACAGCTTGTTACCACCTTCTCATGCTCAGTCACTTCTCCACCATCATTTCTTTAAACACCGGTCCATGCCCTGGCGGTCCTCTCCTGACATCCTTCTAGTCTTCCTCTCTGCTTTGCCCGCTCAACAGCCATCCAAAGTGATTCACCTCTCTTGCAATTCTGCACATGCTCCTTAAATCTTTAACTGGCTTCCTCTCCACTCAAGAGTTCCATCAAAGCTTCTAGTCCTCAGCTTCAAAATCCTTGTATTGCCCCGCTCCGTATACGTACCATACTTACTGTAACTAAGCCAAAGTGTATGTAATTAACTATAACATATTTCCAGCTTTCCCATGCCTCTTTCCCCTTTCTCCTGATGTTTGTTTCTTTCTATTTTAAATCTGGATGAGGGCCTTGTGATCCTTATAGTTTGTAAAGTCCCTAAAATGTGAAGAAATCTGAAATTTAATTCTCGGGAGAAATTTAGAACTTGACACAGCAATAAAGCCTGCTGAGAATTATCTAGACCTTACAAGATTCTCATCTCCATCATGAGATGGAGATGTCAAGCATTTGTGTGCATGTGTTCTGCATATTTTTATACCAGGGTAACAGCCGTGCCTTTCCCCAAGGCCAGCACAAAACACAGTGTGATTTATCAAAAAGATAGAAACAACCCATCCTACATTTGCCAGTTAATGCAAGAAGACAACCCAATAAGGCTTGTGAATCAGTTTTTTGAGCGTGCCAAGACTCCCTATGACTGACCATAACAATTCTCACTGCCTTACAGCAAAGAACTGAGTGGCGTCTTTTGAAAATTTACCATCTCATTCATCTTACTCGACCTTCCTCAAGCTGATGTTGCTAGACGTGTGTCATTACCAGAGAGTGCTGTAGTTTACTGTATCTGGAAAGCACCAGGTTGAGCAAGGCTGATCTAAACACAGATCAGCCTTGCTCAACAGAACAGAACAGTCGGCAGAACACAGCAGATGCACAATTTTCATGGGCAGAAACAAACCCTTCCAAACGCATTACCTTTTTTCTCTTGTTTGGCCCAGAATTCTCGTACCCGTTTTAGGATATTCTTCGTCTCCCTCAAGTGTTTTTGCCACTGGCGTAGTTCTTGAACCTCAGGCTCACAGCGGACCTAGAAAAATGAAAAGGCATCTGTAAGTAACGAGCGATCACTCCTCAGAACGGATTGCGATGAATTTTTAAAAATAGTTTTGTAGACTCTTAACTCCCAAAATATCTCAGCTAGCCAGGTAGTTGATACCCCAAGGCAGACAACCCTAGTCAGGGCCACCAGCCCTGACCTCCCCATCCCGGCCCCATCCTTCAAAAGTCTATGCATGAAGGAATATCTAAACAATCTTAAAATATTCTCAGGATCATAAGCATATTAGAATCATTTCAGACAAGGCACTTGTAAAAAGCTCCTCCCTGAGAACCCACCTCAACCAGTCCCACCATCGGGGAAAGTGTGGCAACCACTGCTGCTGGCGGATGCTGGGGAGGAGGCAAAAGCCAGAGGTTGGACGTTCCAATCTCCACTGGGCCTCCTGTGCAGTCCAAGCTTTGGGCAAGCTGCAAAGTCCTAGAGTGCCCCCAGAAGAAGGGAAGGGGAAACCATAGTCCAAGCTTTGGGCCAGCTGCAAAGTCCCAGGGATGCCCCCAGAAGAAGGGAAGGGGAAACCACTTCTGAGTATTATCTAGCTGAAAAACCATGAAAAGGGTTGCCAAAAGTCACAACTGGCTTGATGGCGCATGATGATTATTAGCTCAACCAAGTAATTTTTCCAAGCTCTGCCCAAAACAGCCTCATTATCTACCTGAAAAACCATGAAAAGGGTCGCCAAAAGTCACAATTGGCTTGATGGCACATGATGATTATTAGCTCAACCAAGTCATTTTTCCAAGCTCTGCCCAAAACAGCCTCGGGGTCATGGATGAGGTGGCTGTTGTCAACCTGGGAGTCATATACAGCTGCCTTCAGTCAGCTTAAAGGAATTGGTGAGGGAGGTGAGCGATCTTGTCCTTCACCACAAGCAGAAACCTTTCGGAACCTCGCCGTTCTTGGTCAGAGACAGACCTGCCATTAGGCAGAGTGAGAGAGCTGCCTTGTGGCAGATGCTTAGGGCCGCCAGAGGCACCTTCTAGCTATCCTTGTTAAATTCGTACAGTTCCTCTACGTTGAAAAAAAGTTGTGTGTGCCAAATTCTGTACTTTCCTTAGCAGACCTGTTTGCTTTTGTGAGATGGAGAGCATGAGTCCATTCTCAATGCTGAGGTAAGATTCTGTTGCCATTGCCAAGGAATGTTGAAGGGGGAGCCATCCCTTTTGGTGGTGGGGAAGAAACTGAGGACTTGAGAAAATATTCCATATAATGAATGGACCTACCAATGACCCTATGGACATCTGGGAACTTGACCAAACAAACAGAAAAGTTGGGGATTGAGAGGATAATTCTCACCTTGCCTCCCTTTTTTAAACACTTCAAAGGAGAAATTGTAAAAAGGAACTGACACTCCTACGTTATCCTTGACCAGAGAATATCTCAACGTGGACTGAAATACTGCTTTCATGGTTATCTGGCATTTCAAAGCACCCTTCTCATGTGTAGAATCCCAAAGTGAGTTCACGTCTTTTCTTAAGGGTATGTAAATTTCTGCTGTGGGAAGAAGAGACATGAGGAAGCTACAAATGTCCTGATAATAGATCAACAGGGATTACCAGGGGTGAAAGGTAATTAAATGTTAGTGGCAGTAAGACACCCAAATGAGCACTTTAACGGGTATAAAAGGACCTTTGGCAGAACTAGTCTTTGATGCTCGGCATCCTCCTCCCCTATCAATTCTAAAGGAAATCAACCCTGAGTGCTCACTGGAAGGACAGATCCTGAAGCCGAGGCTCCAATACTTTGGCCATCTCATGAGAAGAGAAGACTCCCTGGAAAAGACCCTGATGTTGGGAAAGTGTGAGGGCAAGAGGAGAAGGGGACGACAGAGGACGAGATGGATGGACAGTGTCATCGAAGCTACCAACACGAATTTGACCGAACTCTGGGAGGCAGTGGAAGACAGGAGGGCCTGGCGTGCTCTGGTCCATGGAGTCACGAAGAATCAGACACGACTGAATGACTAAACGACAACAACGATCCCCCTCCCCACAGCTTGGTTCCTGGCAGCTCCGATTGGTATAGGATAGGTGCCCGTACTTGAAAAGTCCAACTTGGCCATGGACAATTTAAATAACTTTTGTCCTGTTGCCAACATACTGTTCATGGGAAAGTTGATCGAGAAGGTGGTTAGAAGAGGACCCTGATCATCTGAGGGGCCTTCAGCCTTCCCTAGATAAGATTACACTCCCCCTCAAGGGTGAGTTTATGATTGGGATGGCCCATTCCACCGTTACCTCCTTGACTGATTTTTTTAAAATTGGGTAGGTGGGTATCTCATTGAGGCGACAACCTTGCAGCGTCCAAATGCCTTGTCCACATCATCAGGTGACACAGGTTGAAACTGATCCAGGACAACCGGACCAGAGAGTGCACTGGACATCTCGCTACGTCTTGCTGCCACGCTAACAGAGTCCAGGTCCCTACAGAAGGCCTCAATCGTGAACTGAAAAAAGGCTGCAAGCCAATTGCAGGCAATTACATCCAGTGAAGCCCTGGATGATGCCCAGCACCTGTGAGGTCACAAAACACCTGATAATCTGCCACCTGATGATTAACCACCTCACTAATCAGCTTCGTATTATAGGCTTTTTTAACATTTGAATTGTGTTGCAGTATTGGTTGGACTTTTTTTAAAAATTGAAGCCAAGTTTACAACTGAGGGAGCTTTCCTCCAGTTGCTCTCTAGCCCACTCCTCACTTGTTTGATTTGGCGACCTGGGCTTCGACATGAGTGCCAGTCAAGCCAGCCAGAAACCCATCCAAGCCATCTCGGAGTATTGCCAGACCCAACAGCCTCTGTGGGCGGACAATCTGACATGGCATGTTCCTCCTTTTGAAATGCTCCCAGTCTGTATTGTGCTTTGTTCTCCATTAGAGCAACTGTGACAAGTGGTCCTGCTTTGTGATGAAACAAATATGACGATCACAAGGGAAGAGAACTTTCCAGCTTACTAGCCAGGCCAGAAGCGACATATCCCATCTTGTTAATCTTAATGTGTCATCAAGTTGCTCCTCACTTACGACAAACCAAACAGGGTTTTTCAAGACAGAAGAGATGGTTTAGCATTGCTATCCCAACAGGGAGTTTTCATAACTGAGTCAAAGTTTGAACCCAGGTCTCTTGAGGCACTTTATCCACTAGTCCACACTGGATCCCGGCTCGCCTCTACAGAGCTTTAAAAGGGGTCATTCTTCTGCTGATGATCTCTTCTGTTCATGATCTCCAGAGGAAAGAACTTTGCTGCTTACCATCCAGGTCCCAGGTGATTTAGCCCTGTTCTTGTCAACACCCAGAACCGAATATTGACCTTGCTCTTTTTCGAAACTATGCACAACTCTGTACAACAGTCACTCTTCTCCACATCTGCTCTTGTGAACTGTCAAGGTCAAAGGACACAGCACATTTTTTAAGCTGGCAATTAAACAATTTTTTATTTCTTTGTTTTTCTCATGCAATTGTTAATGTGATTTTGCTATTGATGCTTGAATTGTTCTGATGTTTCTCCAACAGGAATGTATGCGGGTAGGCATTTAAGTCAGAGCTAGAAAAAGGTTTTTCTTTTTCTCTTCTGGACTATCTCCAAGGGATCCTGGGAGCCATTGTCCCCCAAAAAATTAATCATGAGTCCCAAGTTCTAGTGTCAGTAAGAAGAGATGCTTGGCAATTTCAAGCTGCCTTCCGGCAAATGACTTCTGATGAAGAAATACTACCATGTTTCCCTGAAAATAAGACAGGGTCTTATATTCATTTTTGCTCCAAAAATGCATCAGGGCTTATTTTCAGGGGATTTTTTTTCCAAGTACAACAATCTACATTTATTCAAATATAGTAATGTCATCTTCTGGTTGCTTCACAGTGGTGGAGGGCAGGGCTTCACTTAATTGGGGCTTGTTTTTTGGGTAGGGCTTCTATAACGACCATCCTGAAAAATCCTACTAGGGCTTATTTTCAGGTTAGGTCTTATTTTCGGGGAAACAGGGTAGCGGAGTCAGAATTAAATCCAGGAAGCGTTCATAACGGAGAATAGAAGCAAGGGACAGAAGCCAAGCAAATGGCCTTTCAAACGGAGAGCCTTTCTGAGACAAGACACATTCATTAACGCTCAGAGCCCCTGAATTGCATTACCAGGGACTCTGTTTGACATCCATCATCCATATTAAAACACCCTGGCCTCAACCACCATTAAACGAAAAAGAAAAGGTGATTAGCAATTCAGCATGCCACCTGCCATGCTGGTTGATGATCGATTCATTCTGCTCTCCATTCCACATGACAAACAAACCAGGCCATCCTCCCAGGTCATGGTCTGACAGGCACAAGATAAAGCCACCTTATTGAAGTTAATGGTAACTGGTATGGATGGGCTTTTCAGAATTCAAAGACTCTCAGTCCCATAATTTGCCAGGAACCCCCCAGGCCAAATTATGGACTCTATCTGGGAAGCCACAAAGCGGCAGAAGGTAGAGGAGTCCCTTCATTTCCATGCCATCCCCCCCACATCTTCAAATGGTTAGACAGGTGCCTTGCTGTACCGTGCGGATCTTGAGGATTACCTGCGAATCACAAAGCTGCAAGGGAGGACAGAAGCTGTCTTTTGACACCCTCTACGGAGGCAGTCTTCCTTGGTAGTTGTTTCCTCCATGCACCTTTGTGACTGCAGGGAATCCTTGTGATTCTCACAACGCATTGAGGCACTTTTCTAACGGGTTCAAAGAAGCAGTGTGGGAATGGCATGGTGGTAAAGAAGCTGCTCTACCTTCTGCTGATTTGAGGGCTGGGGGTTTCCCACCCAATTTTGGGACAAGAACTCTTCCAGTTCTGAAAATCCCATCCCTAATAGCTGGTCAGTCCTTGAATGGGAGATGGCATTAGAACCCAGTGTATGTTACCTTTGGTTCAGTCTCACAGCTCGGCCATGCTGGCCAGGGTATCCTGGAAGATGCAGTTCAAAAAAGTAACTCTCCTA